CGCGCGCGCGGGCGCGGTGTCGCGGAGGTCCGCGGGCTGAAATGCAGTGCCCCGATCAACGTACATCTAGGTGCACCCGTAGGAAATTAATTAATAAAGATCAATCATCGAATTCCGGCCGGCGGAGCCAGAGTCATTAGTCGTCCATAGAGGCTGTACGTCGACCGCGCGCGCGGGCGCGGTGTCGCGGCGGTCCGCGGGCTGAAATCACGGCCAAAATTGGGTTATGGTCGTATCAAAGCAAGTTTGATGATATTCGCGCGTTAATTGCACGTTTGCGATGGCTTTTTGCGCGCGGTCGCTGGTTCGGGTCGCGAAATCGCAAGATTTAACTTCAACAAAAGTGCTGAAGTTCAACAAAAATGTTGACTTTTAAATCCAGGCTATCAGAATCTGAGTTTTGATCGGTGCACTGCTGAAATGACGGCCAAAATTGGGTTATCGTCGTATCAAAGCAAGTTCGATGATATTCACGCGTTAATTACACGTTTGCGATGACTTTTTGCGCGCGGTCGCTGGTTCGGGTCAAAGAAATCGCAAGATTTAACTTCAACAAAAGTGCTGAAGTTCAACAAAAATGTTGACTTTTAAATCCAGGCTATCAGAATCTGAGTTTTGATCGGGGCACTGCCGAGCCTGCGCCGGAGCGACGCCCTCGCCTCGACGTGTGGCCAGTCTCCCTCGCCGCCTCTCTCGTCGTGCACAGGGATCGCATTTGCCGCGGCAAGTTGCCGTAGTGAGCCGCGCGCGCGACGCGACGACGACGAGGCCGCCGCGCGCCCGCGGAAGCGAAGCCGCGCGGCGGAACGTACTCCGGCGAGAGGCGGCTCGTACGAGCACGGGGTAGATTCCGTGTATCAACAGCGATGAGCGACCCTAGGCGGCCTGGACGTCGTGGGTGAAGTCGTAGTTGATCGTGGGGATCATGTTGGAGATGAACTTGAGGAAGATGAACATGGCCTGGTCGACGCGGGGCGGGCCCGACGCGTGCTTGGAGACGTTGTCGATGATCTTCTTCATGGCGTTGGGGTGCTTGCAGGGGTGGATGGACGCGTGGGGGTGGTCGAGGTGCGGGTGGCGCTCGAAGGTCACGGTGCGCTTCGCGTAGTCCGACAGGATGTCCTCGAAGATCTGGGGCTGCGTGAGGGGCGCGCTGGCCTCGTCGTAGCCGAAGAGCCACATGCGCGGCGTCTGCCAGTATTTGTCGTAGGTGATGCTCAGGTCGTAGGTCCGCGTGCGGAGGATGTTGTCGCTCTGCGCCGTCGCCGCGTCGTCCGCGCC